GGGCGGCCGCGGGGTGGAGGGCACCGGCGGCTTGCTGTTCTGAGGGGGCGGCGGCGGGGCGGCCTCCCTGTGGATGGAGGGCCGGCTGCCCACCGGAGGGGGCGGAGGAGGGGGTTTGTCCTCCAAGGCCCGGCTCGGCGTGGGGGGTAGGGGCGGCCTGTTGGAGAAAGGCGAGGAGGAGCCTGAGGGGGTCTGACGTACGGAGCCGCCTCCGAAAGCAGCACCTCGGTTTCCGGGGAAAGGCGGGGGAGTCGGCCCAGGGCTGGGCTGCCTGGGGGCCCCGGGCACTGGGGGGGACCCCCGGTTGTGCAGACTCGACTGAATGGGTCTTGGCGTGTTGGGTACCGGAGGGGGAATGTTATCAGGCTTTGCGCCCACGTCGGGCCTGGGGGGAGGCATTCGGTTCCTCTGAGGCTCCGGGTGTCCGCTTCTGAGGCCCGGAGAAGGCACAGGGAACCTCCCTGGGCCACTTGGGGGTGAGAAAGGTTTGGCAGCCGTGGCTCTTCCTCCTGGTGGCAAAATTGGGGGTCGGCTTCCTCCGGAATCTGAAGAACAAGGGGGAAAAATCAGAAAATTAGGAGACTCGGAAATCAGGGAACTAGAGTATATTGCCAGCTACTGGAAGCCCTCTCTTGGATGATATAAAGTATAGGTAACTATTATTTCTAGGAATTAGGTTTCGTGTGGTCCTTTCTGGAGACGGAGGAGTAGATCACAGCTCTCTGTTTCTCTTCTAGTCCCAGATTCTACAACCCACGAGCTTCCAAAGTGATTCTGGTGAGATCTCTTGGCATTATGTATGGACAAGAACCAGGATGAAGTTGGTAAGTTCTGGAGAGATCCCTGTTCATTACCAGAGGACAAGAACAGGATGGCACTGGCACATGAGAGTTCTGCTAATGATTTTCTCTTCTCCCGGTCACCCTCCCTGTCCCCTCGCCCTGCACCTCTCAGGTTTGAAAAATAATTTAGCCATCTTAGGTGAAGAAATTAGTTATCCCAATATAACTTTCTATATGGGAGGGCTTACCTAGTCCCTTTGAAGAGAAGTTTCCAAGAGAAGATGGAAAAATATAAAGGAAGAGTTATGATTGAAATAAAAAAACTGTCAAAGGAAAAAGAAACTGTCAAAGTTTAAGTGAAAGAGTTGACATCAGTGGATGCTCTTGATCTGCAAACAAGTAGGCAGCTATACAACTTTTCTCCCTACTAAGCTCAGCTTCCACCTCAATACTGACAGGACGGAACAATGCTACTACATACTTAATAATATTCAGTTGCTTTGGTTCAACAAAGGGAAGAACTAAAGAGGAATCAAAGTTAGGGAAAAATTGAAACCACCATCCCAGAATCTCTTAGAACCCAAGCTAATTCTCAAAAAATGCTTAGCTTGAAAACTAGTTCAACCGTGAGCTAATTAATGTACCAAGTATTTATTGAGTACCTGCTATACTATACGTCAGCCATTCTAGATGTTCTTCGAGATGGAGGAGTAAACAAAATAGAAAAGATCCAGCTCTCTTGTAGTTTACATTCTAGTGGGGAAGATAAACAATAAACCAGGAAACATACAAACACTTTCAGATCATTGTAAGTACTAAAAAGAAACCAAAATAGGGTCAATGAAGAGTGCCCAGAGAGGCCAGGATAGCTGGGGTGGGTGTGGATGGCTCTTCTGAGGGTATGACATTTGAGCTGAGGCCAACCATTGAAAGAGGAGGAAAAGATGTGCTTTAGTCTGAGGGCCAGCAAGTGCAAAGGCCCTGAGTTGGAAATGAGCTTCGGGTTACAAGACCAAGGTTTACGTGCCTGGGGCACAGTGAGCATGGAGGAGAACCCTATGAAATGTAGCCTGAGTAGCCAGCAGGAGCCAGGTCATAAAGAGCCTTGTAGGCCAGAAGGAATTTAGATTTTATCCAGGGCACAATGAGAGACATTTGGCTGGATTTATACAGTGGAGCAACATGAACTCTAGAGAGAATTTTTTATTTTGACATTAGTACTAGAAAAAGCTGTAAGTTACTTGACTGTGCAGTATATTTCTATGTCATCCACTTGTGATGTTATATCTTCCAAGTTTGGATTAAAGGTACAGCAACTACCCACATATACATTACACAGACAGGATCTAATAGGTGGATGCTATACTATGAACGCGTATACTTCTGGTACACCATTTTGTGTGCTAACTTAAATTCCATATGCATTTTATCATTTCATTTCCTGTTGCCTTTTGCCTGAATTTCTTCACCTATTGTTAAAGTACTGAACATATGCATTTGTCAGCTGCCTCAGATCCTTTTGGTTTTAAATAAATAAATAAATTTAAATTTAAATGCAGATCTGGCAAGATAGGATCCCTCATATTATTAAGTCTCTTTCTAGATTTTTGACCATCCAAAGTTAAAACAGTCAGAGCTAAATAATCCCTGAGGATTCAGTAACTTTATCTTCATATGAATATGAGAATTTTATACTTTCCCGGTGGACATTTTAAAAGACCATAGAATTAGAAATAAAATTCTTCTAACACAATAAACATTAAAAAATAAAGTTTCATGATAAAGTTTCTTGAGCTACTGTCACAGTCAGGGGAGAGAGCCTCATGCACTTTGTGAGGTTTTTCATTTAGGCATGACCAGGTTCAACTTTTCTCTGCCATCATGTTCACAGACAGTCCTGTAGGACTCATTTCCATGGCTTTCTGCAGAGAATACTTAGAATCACTGGCCCCCAATTGCCAAATGTCTGTCATACAAAACACCTTTTTTAGATTTAGTGAGATATGTAATTCTATTCCATGTGACATGCTCCACCATGTGTTTGACAAGAGACTCACAAGTATTTACTATACTAGACAGCTGGGTCAGACTATCTCACAAAGAAAGCTGAATCTGCCAAGGCACCAGACAGTTTCCAGGGGTGGCAAGGTCCATTTGCTCCTTTATTTTCTTCCTACTCTAGCTCACCCTTTAGAAAAGTACAAGTTATCCCAAGGACATTGGGCAAACATTTAATAGCTGGATGGAGCTGTCTGATCCTGATTTAAAAAAAAAAAAAGATGCTAAATAGAGTCCCTCTTATAAAACAGTGTTAACATTTCAAGAAATCTAAAATGTTTTAAAGGGCGCAGTGCCTTGGAGGAGGTGCCAGGCCTCAAAACCACCAGACTCCGCCTTGTCTTCAGTTCCTAAGAGAGAAGGAAACTCTCCTTACCATTCTCCCTATTGGCTGTGGATCTCAACTTAGGCATTCCAGCCTGGAACAGTCCTCCCAAACCGGGTGGTCCACCCCCTCCAAAACTGCCACTGCCGCCACCACCACCACCACTGCTGCCACCTCCTCCACCAAAGCCGCCGCCGCCACCACCACCAGCTCCTTTAGGTTCTGTGGAAGGAAGAAAACACAATCATTTTATGATGGTGTATGAAGACACCACCAGAGAACATCACCAGTCCTCACCCAAGTAAACAACAGTGACACAACGGGGAGCTGGCTGAGCCCAGGCCCATGGTGGCCAACTGGGATTTCATTAAAGTGCAGGATTTTAAGGATTCACCCCCAGTCAGAAAAGCAGGGGCTTCTTTCCACTTCAGGGCAGGCACAAACCCAGTGGTGGAAGAATCAGTAATAGATAATGACTTTGCCCTACTTGGCTAGCTGCCATATGAGTTAATATCTATTTGTTCTATATTATAAGGTTTGGCAAATAGATGTATCTTCAAAGAAGTCTCAAGGGAAGAGGAGATGCAATAAAAGGTGAGAAGGGAAGAGTAAAAATAAAGAGAAAAAAAATCCTGTAATTTTGTTCCATGGAAATATCTATTGTTTTGATGTATGTTTCTCTGCCAATTTTTTTTCATTTTATATATATTTTTCTTCAAATTAAGACCAAATTCACTACATAGTTTTTAGCCTGCTTTTTTCACCTGACACTTTATTGTTAGCATTTCCCATGTCATTAAATGTTCTTTGAAAACATGAGTTTAAAGGATTGCATTGTATTTTAGAACATGAATTTACTGTAATTTATTTAACCATCTACTTATCTGATGGCCTTTCAGGTTGATTTCAACTTTTTAAGATCGTAAAGCCCAATAGTAGACTTTAACATTAAAAAAAACTCTTGTTTTATTTTGCATTTGTTGCTAGAAAATTGTGAAAGATTTTGAAATGGGCAAACAAGCAACAAAAAAAGAAAAGGAAGAAGATGAAAAAGATTACTAAGCATTCAGCCTAGCCTTCTGGGTTATTTCGCATTGCTTTTGAGCTAGTTTACAACTCTGTAAGTTGTAAAAAACTGATAATATCGCAAATGACATTTGTCCTTAAAAATGCAAATTGGTGTGTTTGGTGTAAGGCAATTGATTATTGACCCATTTTGCACCTATTTCTAAGTTCATTTCAACACTTACCTGCCTATATATGTGTGGTACTTTGAATCCTCCTTTGAATTGATAGTATATTGATTCCCTCTAATAGCTAAATAAAATCTTTGATATGTTTATTTTATGTCTCTATGAAAGCCATGGTTATACTCTCTTTAAAAAAATGTCTCTTAACAATTTATGTGTGTATGTATTATGAGGTTAAAAATTATTTAAAATTCTACTCCTGGAAAACCTTGTTGAGTCTTTGATGAGTATTACATGAGATCTACAAATTAATCTGGGAGAACTGACACTTTTATGATATTTAGACTTTATAGAAACATGGTATATTTTCCCATATCTTCTCATTTATTCAGTAAAGTTTTGTAACTTTTATGATATGGGTCACCTATGCTTCTTCAGGGTCACTTCAAATACATTTGTGCTTGTTGAAATTATAAAAGGGGTATTTTTCCTACTATATTTTGAATTTGGTTATTAATTGGCATCAGGAAATTTCATTTGATATCTAATAAATCACTTTGCTGTATTTTCTAAATTTTATTTTAAAAATTTTACCTTGGAATTTCTAGTAGACATACGGTCTGCAAATAATAAAGGTTTTACCCCCTCTTTATAATGTTTTATTAATTTAAAAAATTATTTTAAGTAATCATAAAGAATATACATTTATATATTTATTTTTAAAATTGTTATTAGTATTAACTTTAAAAATAAAGAAAATCATATCTTGATTTTAATGAGAATACCTCTGATATTTCAAGTTATATATCAACTATTGGTTTGAAATCTTTTATTTTCTTCTTTCTAAATATTCGTGGTTAGCAAGGATCTTTCCACTTGGGATTTTAAGACTTTCTTATGGCATGGAATTTTATCAAATGCTATATCAGGAGCTGCTAAGAGCATTATAGAGTTTTCCTTATTTAATATGTTGGATATATAGACTTCCTAACATTAAAAAATGGGAATTAAAAAAAAATGGGATAAACCCTGGTCTTGGTAAAGCATTTTTTTAAAATATACTATTGAATTAGAGTTTTTGTTTTTTTAGTTAGTATCTTCTCATCTGTGATCATACGTCGTCTACAGTAGGGTTCTTAGCCTTGGAACTACTGACATTTTGAGTGAGATATTTTGTTGTTGTGGGAGGCTGTCTTGTTCTGTGTAGAATGTTTACAGCATCCTTAACCTCTATTGGTTGATGTCAGTAGGAACCCCTCCCTCATCAAGCTGTGATAACTAAAAATGCCTCAGGCATTTCCACATGTCCTCTGAGACACTGATACACAAGCTTTCTTTTTGGATATAAGCTGCCTTTGTCATGTTTTGATATTATGATCATGCCAGTTTCATTACACCTATCAGATAGCTTTTCATGTCTTCCTATATTTAGGAATGATTTTATACAGTGTTTGAATTAGCTGTTTCTT